CAAGGGCAGAAGCAGAGGGATGGGGAAGAGAAGGAGTTGTCCCAAAGGAGAAGGAAAGATAGGAGCAGGAGATCTTAGGGCAGCCAGGGGAGGAGGACATGTGTCTGGAAGCCAAGGACAACCCAGCAGTCTGTGTGTGTGTGTGTGTGTGTGTGTGTGAGAGAGAGAGAGAGAGAGAGAGAGAGAGAGAGAGAATGCTTAGGAGATGCCAAGCTGGAACTCCAGAACCGCTACCGGGAAGCAGGAAGGAAGGGTGTTTTCCTGCTTTCCAGATTTTGGCTGCAGGCAGGCTCGGAGACCCTCCTTGCAGGGGTCTTGCTGCTGGAAGGACCTCCAGCCAGGCCCCCAAATCCAGCGCTCCAAAGGCAGCTCAGGACGGCTGGCTGGGGAATTCTGGGAGCTGAAGTCCACAAATCTTCAACTTGCTCAGGGGGAGGAACACGGCCACGTTCCGTTCCCGGGTCTGCAGTGACTTTTGGCCCGGGCGGGGCCATTCAGTTGTCCGCCCCTTTTGCTCCCAGGGAAATCCTCCCAGAGGGTTTCTAGAGCAGGAGGCGGGAGAGCAGGGTCGGGCCTCTGGTGAACCTGGCGTGTTTCGGGTGCAACCCTTTCTCAGAGGGAGCCCCCAGAAAACAGAGAAATCAGTTAAGGAGGAAAATCTTGCCGTCACTTCTGGGCAACGTAGTTAATTAAACCGTAACTAATCATACAATTACATACAACCATGTGGGGATATCAGTGTAATTGGTTTCTATCAAGATTACCAGTACGTCTGAAATCAGTGATGATCATTAAAGAAAGCCAGAACCCAGGGCTGTGAGATGGTTTAAAATATTAGGAAGGAGAATGAGTTAGAATTTGAAGCGGTAGGACTGTTATCTACAGATGAGTAGGATGGATGGATTGCCTAGATCCATTTCAGTCTGGATTCAGGCCAGGTAGTGCCCCCAAGACCTTCCTTCCTTCCTTACTCATTAGATTGTTTATATGCCTGCCCATATAACAATAATTACAACCATAAAAATAAAAGTCAAATAAAAATGGCCTCAACATTAACATTAATACAACGCAGCCAAGATTCTTCAGAACCATCCTTCAGTTCTACAACTATATAACCGGGATCACCTAACACCCTGGCCCAATGCCCGAGGGAATGCCATTCTTTTAAACGCTTTTTGGAAGACATTACTTGCTCTTCTGGATGACCCACGGTAGGTCTGAGATGGGTAAATCCAGCCCTCCGGGTCTCGTTTGATCTCTCTGATGCCATCCATCGTGGCCGCTGGAGGTTGGAAGGGGGGCACTAAATTTGGCAGTAATTCTCCTCCTTCCTCCTCCTGGGAGTGTCACTCAGTGGTGGTGGTGATGGGAGAGAGATTGGTCTCTCAAGGCCTCCATTGGGGCTGATACAGTGCTCTAGTCTCTTCCCCCTCCTTTTAACATCTCCACACAGCCCCTGAGAAAGGATGCCCCTCAGCACAGGGTCAGGCATCATCCGTAGGTGGGTGATGCCAGCCATACATCTTGACCCTGGGCCAAACAAGAGATGCAGTCGAGGTGCTATCCCAGTTGGGGTGAGAAGGAAACATCCTAGCTCAGTCCCAGCAACATGGAGCGGCGGGTTTCAGGTGCCAACTGAAGCCAGTGCTATGCCATCTTGGGTTCTGGGTGGGGTTGTGCCCCCTTGGATTCAGCTGGTTCCGCCTAGACTTGCAGGCCCTGCTTGAGGAGCAGGTGGCAGCTGTGGTTAGGAGGGCCTTTGCACAATAGTGATGTGCCAGGAGTGTCCACTTCTGGATCAGGAGGCCCTTGTCACAGCCCCTTGTCCCTGAACCGTTGCAGCTCGCTCTCTACGGAGGGGCACCTCCCAGAAGCTGCAGGTGGCCCAAAATGCGGCAGTTCATGTAATTAAGAATGCCCCTCTGTTTGCCCAGACATCACCATTTCTCCGTGGCTTTAGGTGCAGTTCAAGGTGTTGGTTGTCTCATTTAAAACCTACCTGGCCCAAGATCTGAATATCTTCAGGACCATCTGCTCTCAGCAGTTCGTAGGATTTACTAGGGAGGGCACCCTTCAAGTCCCATCCTTGAAGGAATGTTGTCCTCAGGCCGCACAAGGATGGGCCTTTTCTGTTGCTGCCCCCCTCCTTCGGAACTGCCCCCCCGAGTCAGATCAGCCCCCACCAAGCCGCTAAGGAACTGAGGAAACGGTTGGTCCCCGCCCTGCAGTAGGCAAAGGCGTTTATTGAGAGTGACGTTGTTCGGTGGGACGGATGAGTAGTTAAGATTACTATTTGCTTTGCCTCATGTTACGATAATTTATGGTTTTAATCTTTCTTGCTTCCCCTATTGGGGTGCACTTGGCTTGCCTCCATCTACCGTTGAAGCGGTCTATAAGCAAACAAATAGATCGATGCTCTTTAAGGTGGTAGTTTGAAACCAAAACAGTAACAGCATTTGCAGGATTTTCAGAGTTGGGAGGGATTTAAACGGCAAGGTTCAACAGCTGGGAAAAGGCAGAGTCTGTTAGGTCGGGAAAGACCAGCGTTCAGCTTTACCTGCTGGCATAAGCAAATTTCAACTACTTTGGTGGGGGGTACGTGTGTGCCAAGTAATGGCAAAAGCAGCACAAGCTCTGGCCCTTTTGTGGGCATGTGGTGACAACGGTGCAATGCTTCCTTCATCGTCTTGGGGACAGCCTCGCTTCTTGCCATAGCAGGGGAATGGTCAGGATGGAGGAGGAGGACAGGTTTGGGGGATGGGACGTTATGCAAAAATTGCAGAATTAGAACCAGGGTAACGGCTGCTGGACGTAGTTAAATACTGGCATTTTCTGGATGTTCACACCACGGCTGTAAGCTGTAAAAGGCTTCTCCTAAGACGTCCTTCTCTGCTTCTTTAGACCTGGATTGGCTGGCCTAGGAGTCCGTATCCCTGGCATGACG